ATTTGCATCTTTCATCTATGCTAGCAGCCTTCCCAGATACCAGCAAGAATTGTGGCATGAGCTAAAGACTTTGGGGCAAAATATTAACTCTTTCTGGATTTTGGGAGGTGACTTCAATTGTATCACCTCTCCATCTGAAAAAAGAGGGGGTAAAGCTCTTTTACTCTCTCCAATATCCAAATTCAACAATTTCATCAGTGATGCTGGTCTTTATGATCTAGGATTTCAAGGTCCTAAGTTCACTTGGAGAAGAGGAACTTTATGGGAAAGATTGGATAGACTACTGGGCAACTCTTTTTGGTTTCAAACCTTCCCTTTCTCCACTGTCACTCACCTTGCAATGGCTTGATCTGATCACAGACCTCTCCTTTGTTCCATTCAGAATACTGCTAGACCAACACATACACCTTTCAGATTTCAGAATATGTGGGCTCTTCATCCTGACTTCATTAAGGTAGTGGAAAATAGCTGGAATTCCAACTTGCATGCTGACCCTTGGATCAGATTATGGTTTAATCAGAAGAACTTAGCCTCTCATATGAAAAAAAGGAATTGGGAAAGATTTTGTATGAATGAACAGTTGGAGGCCATCCAAAATGAAGTTCAAAACTTGGAGGAAGGCCTAGTAATGGGGTGGAACTATGAATATGAAGTTCATCAGGCCAATGAGAGATTGCTTGCACAAATCAGATACCATGAATGTTTCTTACAACAGAAAGCTGTTGTCACTAAATTTACTGATGGGGACCAAAACATTAGATACTATCATGCTTGTATCAATCATAGAAGGAAGTGTAACATGATTGTAAACATCAACAACCTCAATGGCAGGAAGTTAATCAATGCTGATGAAATTGGTGATGATGCAGTCCAACATTTCCATAAGTTGTTCACCAATGATCTGGATTTCAGAAATTTTATTGAAATTGAGATGTTCTCTAGCTGTCAGCATTATGTTCAAAATTTAAATCTCAATAGTACCCCTTTGGAAGATGAGATTAAACAAGCCTTAGACTCTATTGATGGGCTCAAAAATGTTGGACCTGATGGCTACACATCTACCTTTTATAAAGCCTCATGGGATAAGACTAAACAAAATATTATACTTGATGTCCAAAACTTCTTTCTTGGTGTGGACCCCCCTAAATATTTCAGTGCCTCCACCATCACTCTAATACCTAAGAACCAAAATAGGAAAACTTGGGGGGCTTACAAGCCAATCAGCCTAACAAATGTGATCTCCAAAATAATCAGCAAGATCATTGTGTTTAGGCTGCAACCCCACCTTCAACATCTCATTAGTGACAACCAAATGGCTTTTATTAAAGGGAGGAATATTACTGACAACATCCTTCTTGCACAAGAACTCCTGCTAGATCTTGACAGCAATTGTAGAGGAGACTGGCTTTCCATCACAGATCTAATATCCTTATAAGCAATTTGGCTTATGCTGATGACATTATTATTTTCTCAAATGCTGTCAAGAATTCTATCAGGAGGATATACAATTGCCTTCTCCACTTTCAGCATACCTCAGGTATGGCATTCAATAAAAAAAAATGTCAATTTATCATCAATAACTCCACACCTCAGCTCAAGCACTGGATTTCTGAATACACTGGCTTCTGCTATGCCAACCTCCCTATTAAATATCTTGGAATACATCTACTTAAAAGCAGAACTAGACAAATACATTTCCAAGATGTCATTGATCAGATCAAAGCTCAACTTGATCATTGGAATAACTCCTTCCTCTCTAATGGTGGAAGGATCACTGTTTTGAGGAGTATTCTCACAGCAATGCCTTCCTATGTCCTTCAA